ATTCTCTGATGAAAAAGATAACAGTCAAACTGTAAAATATTTTCAGAAAATTTTTTCTGAAAGGCAGAAACCCTATTATTTTAAATTTTGGCAGCTTTTGAAAGATTTATATGTCTGCTGGTCTCTTTCAAAATGGCATTTTTTATGAGCTTCATCCTTATGAGAAAGCTGTATTAAAAATGTGTAGAGAAATCCTCAGGACTTTTCTGCAACATTGCAGTAATGACATTTTTCCTCAAATTTCAAATTTACTCTGAGGTTACATATTAGGACAGATAGACGGGGAAAAAAAAAAAAAAAAAAAGTATTTTAAAGGTGCTACTAGCAACTGTGAAAAAATGTATCTGTTTTATGGTTTAACAGCTTACCCTCTTTGGAAATAAACTGGTTCCGCTAAGACGTGAAAATAAGCCATAAAACCAGGATCTATTCTCTAGTGGATCTATGGACATCACAGACTTTTTAATTCTCTGATACCTAACAGTGGCAGTTGACAATTCTTCTTTGCTTTAGTTGTAGGGACTATTTGTCCCCCTATGTTTTCCTCCTAGTGAAGAACTTGCATCATAGTAGTTGGTGACCTAACTTGTACACCAGTCCTCAACCATCAATCACAGAGACAAGAAACACACTTTTACTATTTAACTGTGGTGACTTTTAGAGATGGATTTTTTCTGGGGGTTTTCTAGGGGTAGCAGAGGGCGAAGGTGGAGCCTGTTTTATTTTCTTCAAGAGGTTAACAGTGCTGGCATTTGAGTGATTTTTGGCTATTTATCAGGAGATTTTAATTCCACGTAGTTCACTCTTGATATGATGCATCTTATTTAGCTTTAGCTATTACACTGAATGTCTTGCTTGTCATCTAGACTTCCTGATAGTTCTTGGAGAAAGTAATCTCCAAGGGGCAGTATGTGCCTAGAAGATGCCAAAAATGGGCTCAGTTATCTTGTATGTCTCTAATGCTTATAGAGGGATGTTAGCTACTTAGCTTAAGAACAAGTGACTGGTTTTTAGATGGTTATCAGCAGGTGAGCTTAACCCTATCTTAAAACCAGAGGCAAAAAGAGAGGCATGGTGTTTCTGAGTTCCTTAAAAGAGATGTGTGAGCAGAGAAGAACAATGACTTTATTTGCTATTGATAGATTTTTAATGTAGCACTCGTTTCTTCGAGTTACAGCTATGCAGTGTAAAGAAGTATGGTTAATGCATGAGCTGAAATGTGTAATATCACTTCCATAGATGTTCAAGTGTAAAAATTTTAAGTATATGACCTCTCACTTCAACTGAGGTTAACCAAAAGGAAAAAAAAAAAAAAAAAAAAAAAATGTTTAAGGGAGTTAGACATTCATATCTCTATAATTCATTGTGAAATGGATGCTTACCTTTCTAAGATTCCTCTAAACTGCCTAGCCTTAAATATAAATGTTTGTTTATTATCCCTTTTTTTTTATATAGGCATTATGATACATGAATCAATTCTCTCTTTGCTGCCTGTGTCTCAGAATGCTCAGAATGCTCAGAATGCTCAGAATGCTATTACAGCCCAACACCGGCACCACATTTTCATAGTTCATAGGAGATTTAATGCTTTCAGAGGAGAAGGAAAAGAATTCAGCTTTATGCTCAATGGCTGTATATGGTAGTCAAGAGTCAAGTATTTTCATTTATTCTTTTGCAGTAATGAACTTGCTGTAATATGGCACCCAACTGTTTGTATTGCCAAAAAAGACAATATTAAGGAAATTGGTCAAATTATTATTGAGTTAAAGGTCAATAATGATTAGCATAAATACAGAATTTCTCAGAAGTAACTCTCATTTTTGGGATGGTGGCATAACTTCTATATTAAAATTTGTATCTTGGCTACTCCAGGGCATGCAAAATCACAGAATCATAGAATCATAGAACTATTCAGGTTAGAAAAGACCCTTGGGATCACTGAGTCCAATCATCATCCCTATTCTACAAAGTTCTCTCCTAAACCCTAAACCATATCCACTAACACCACATCCAAACGACTCTTAAACACATCCAGGGATAGTGACTCAACCACCTCCCTGGGCAGCCTATTTCAGTGTCTGACCACTCTTTCTGTGAAGAAATTTTTCCTAATGTCCAATCTAGGCCTCCTCTGTTGCAGCTTGAAGCCACTCCCTCTTGTTCTGTTGCTAGTAACCTGAGAAAAGAGACCAGCACCAACCTCTCTACAATGACCTTTCAAGTCATTGTAGAGACTGATGAGGTCTCCCCTCAGCCTCCTCTTTCTCAAACTAAACATTCCCAGCTCCTTCAATTGTTCTTCATAAGTTTTATTCTCTAGGCCCTTCACCAGCTTTGTTGCCCTCCTCTGTACTCGCTCCAGCACCTTGATATCTCTCTTGAATTGAGGTGCCCAAAACTGGAGGCAATATTCCAGGTGTTGCTGGTCACACTATTTCTAATACAAGCCAGGGTGCTTTTTTTGCTATCAAAAAGCAGAAACTGAAAGTACAACCAGTTCTTACTGTGACCTAACTTCCAGATAAAGTCTTAGCACTACGTTTAAGGAGATGTTATAATTAATTACAGGGCAAATGTCTGACTTTTCTAAAAGCTGAGAATTTCTGAAAAGGCGTTTTATAGTGGGCATTTTGCCTGACAGTGATGTGAAAAATGAAAATGTTGATTCTAGTAACAGATGTGTTTAGGAGGCGGCAGATTTCTTATATAAGTAAAAACATAAGGTCAGCTTTCCTGAGCATCTATAGTTGGGATATTAGACCCAGAAAATACACAAGTTCTGCAATTGTAAAGGTTTATTTGTACTGAGAAATACTGGCCTCTGTGAGTGTCATAATGTTTATGGGTATACATGCGAGTTGGATTTGCTGTGCACGAGAGATACTAGCTTACGAGTTGTGGCAAGAAAAGAATAAATGGCAGAATTAAGGCTGATTCCAAAATATGATGTGCTACATTTAAGAGATTACCTGTAAGAATGATGAAATATTTATCTTTGCACCTCTATTTCTTCCTTCTTTTTTTTTCTTCTGGGTGTTTGTTTATTGTAACTTAAAATGTGTTAAAATTTAAGACAAACTTGTAGTCTAATAGTATGTATTAAAACCAGGATCTTGTCTGGTTTTAAGCTCAAAGCACTAAACTACCCCCAAATTGAAATGGCCAGTTTTAAAAAAGTTTGGATACCTGTAGCTGAAATCATCAGCTTCTGAAACGCTAACTTGGAAAAGCAGTGACACAAAACTGAGCATATTGTTTGCATTTCTTAGGCAGTATTAAAGAACTTTTACAAGCTCATCTTTTCATAATGTTGCTGAAGAACAAGTCTCTAGTTGGACATAAACTTCCAGATTTCCAAATTATGTGCAATTTTAATACGACAAGAAGTCACTTAGAAGTATACTTTTGCTATACTTTGAAGACAGATGAATAAAACCTGATTTTTGTCACACAGTTTATCATAAAGGAAAATTATAAAACATGATTATTTTTGTAATGACCATGTCCTCCATACCTTAAATTAGAAACAGCGTCAAAATGTGAACACAATGCTTGTTATAATACTGATTTTTTTAACCAAAGGATTTTAGAAATAAGAAGAAAATATAGTGTAAATTGATTTTATACATAGCAAACAGAAGATAATTGTTTATCTTACATCCTTTCCCTAGATCACACAAGATATCTACGGGATATTAGCACATTCATTTCACATGTACCTTGAGATTGGCAGGTGGCTACCTATTTTTTATTGCAAACAGCAATGATTGTTAAATTTCAGATCTTTTCCAAGCTTCAATATCCCAACCATGCAAGAAGTAGCAAATATTTCTAAGTACCACCTACCTACGAAACCAGAACTAAAAATTGTGCTGGGTAGTGGCAGAGATAACCAAATATCTAAGAGAGCAGTCACTTAGGCAAACACTTGCGTGACATTAAGCATTACCTTTGGCCTTCTGCTCCATTAACTGAGCACTGTCTGTGTTACTGATCCTGATACACTAGATACTGTTGCAAAACTCATAGCTGTTGGGAAGTATGGTGGTGTGATACGAAGTGATGCAGAAAACAGTAGAAGCTCTGTCACTAGGTCAGCTGCAAGAAGAAGTGACGTGTGTGAATGTACAGTATCTGGAGTTTTGTGAAAGATGCAGTCTTTCTTTCTCCCAAAGAACTTCAGCCGATGATACAAGGGGAATTCAGTTCCCTTTGGCAGGACTCCATGTTGGTCTGGATGCTGTAAATACTTCTGCTTCTACAGTTACTTAGCTCATGCTGCTAAAAATATACTCATGGCAGGCTTAATGAAAGTATCTTCTTTTAAAAACTACTTGTCTACAACAATCATTTAATGTTCTCGCTGGCATGTGCTGTTCCCATTATTCTGACATAGCTATTAATACTGATGAAAATTAAAGAGAGAAAAGTCAAATATTTTCATACTTGCAGTTTTCCAGTTGCATTTAAAAAACAAACAAACAAACAACACAGCTAATCAACTACAACTTTTCTTTATTTTTTTGCAGGGGTTTTTTCAATTCAAGAGTAATATAGCAATATATGAAATTGTATTACAACAGTAAGGGCCTCAGGATCCCAGTAGATGATGTAATTATGATTGAAAATTACAATTATTGTATAATTCACTTTTGTAATATAAAAAATATTTTTTTCTCTCATTTTCATTAACCATCAGTCTTAATATCTAACTAATGAAAAAAACATAAACAGTGTCATCTGTCAGGTTACTAACAGAGAATGCCACTTATTTGGAGTCTCATTGTTTACTTTAGCAGGTAATTTGTGGACCGGAATCATTTAATTGTTCTGAGCCCATAATTACATGCCAGCATTTTCCAATTTAATTAAAATGTACAAATCTGAAGATTAAGGGAATTTTTGAATTATTAATCATTTCTCCTCTAGGAAATCTTGTTGCTCTGCAGGAGATTTGTCCAGTGTACAACTATACGTATTTTTTTCCTTCTCTTTCACAGACAGACAATTTTCCCGCAGAGCCCAATTACATGGGCAGCAGGCAGCAGTTTGTTCAAAGGTAAGGCCTATTAAATAACTTTCTCGGCTTCCCCATTTGCGTTCTTGTCAAAATTGCTTTGCCAGAGACTACAATTCCACTTAGAACAAGTAAATACAACTCTCTTTCTCTCTCTCTCTCTCTTTTTTTTTTTTTTTTTTTTTTTTTTAAAATGTTTTTTCAATTCACCCCAATTCAAGGATCCCTTTTTTTTTTTTTTTTTTTTTTTTAAATATGTATTTCAGTAGCTCCACATTCAAGGATCCAGAAAGAGCCAGCTTGAGGGACAGCGGGCATGGGGACAGTGATCAGGCTGACAGTGACCAAGACACTAACAAAGGCTCCTGCTGTGACATGTCTGTTAGGGAGGCACTCAAGATGAAAACTACTTCAACTAAAAGCCAGCCACTTGAACAAGGTGAGTGAAGCCTCCAATGTTTACAAAAGCATAGAGTTTAATCTGTCATTATAAACCTATTAGTATTGCAGTTGAGGTTTATCAGAGCAGCATAGCCCAAAGTTAATACCATCAGAGAAAACAGTAAATCTCACAGATAGCCCAGAGCAAAGAATACTCAGTATCTTTCAGAATGAACATGAAATGAAACCTCAAGTATCCAAAAACAGATTTGGAAAAAAAAAAAAAAAAAAAAAAAAGAAAGAGAGAGAGAGAAAATTAGTACTTTTCTAAAATGATTAGAATATACTTTATCTCCACTGGCATTGCCTGTGATATATTAAATACAGTCCTTCTGCCAAAGTGTGATTTGGAAATTCAAACTAGACATGACTGCAACAGATAAAAGAACACCAGTCATTTATATTCCACATGTAGTCTGGAGAAGAAAAGAGGCTTGGGATATCAGACAAGAGTAAAACTGGATCAGAAGATGTTTTCATTTCATGGACATATTTTTATATTTGTAATGTTGATTTCACAATTAATAGTAGTGTGAGAAGTGTCAAATTATAATATAATCTGATTTTCAACGTAATTCCATTCACATCCTGTGAAGGCATAAAAAATGAATGTCTGTGAAACAGCTGAAACAACTTATATTAGGACAATGACTACTTTCTGCAAGCATCCATTCTGACAAACAAGCATGTTTATTTCCTCAAACTCTGTGTCCAATTCATTTTTTTTCCAGATGTATTTATATAATTTTGAGATCTTTTGTTTCAGAAAAAGACACTTATTTTGGGGGGGTTCTTTTTGTTGGTTCTTTTTTGGTGGATTTTGTGTTTTTTTTTCTTAAAAGCATCAGACAAACTGATTATTCCAGTATTATTTGTGTTCCTGTTTATCTTCTAAGCTGTAAGAAATAAGGAAGAATAATGCTGAATTATTTTAATATATTTTTTTATATGTACTATTATTTTAGTTTGTTGTGGGAATATGATTCAGTGTTAAAGGCAGTTCAAATGTTATAAAGTAAGTCAGCCTTAATAAGAAGCTCTATGAATAATTAAGCAGAAATACATTATAAGGTTTTATTAATTGTTGATTAATCAGACCTTGGTTTGTTACCTCTTAGCCTAGTCTAATCTGTAGCATAGTCATCAGGAAATACATGTTCAACTTCATTTTTCTGTTTATGTTGAGATTGCAATATAACTTTTTTGCCATGTAAAATATTTAGAATGCTGCAGTATAATTTATTCTGTATATATATGAAGGTTGACCTCATATATGAACTTATTTTCCAAGTAATAAATGACAGAAGGATTATTTTTTCCTGACCTTCTGCCACAGCAACTCTCTGCTTGTAATTGGACATTGATCTGTATAAAGATGTAGTACTGGGGGTTTTTTTGCCTTCTTTTTTTTTTTTTTTTTAAGGAATTTTTTGAGCCCGTGTCTATTTTTCTCAAGCTTATGTAAGAAAAAGACAAAATGTCAAGATTTCTATGTATCAAGTATAGCCATGAAAAATTCTATTCACTATTCACATTAAAAATGTGTGACTTTTTCAAGAAAAGGACAGTATGGTCCAAGTTCATAACAGCAGTTTTTCCAGCAGCATCAAGCCCAATACTGTTCAAAATATAAAAACTCTAGTAAGCAAATCAAGCCAACTATTCCTATTGCTTATTTTCATTACAATGCAGAGTTACATGGAGGTTTGCATTTGTGATTGAATCTAGATGAGGGGCCCTGTTAATCAAGAAACAACTTATTGCAGTGGCTCATAGGAATTCCTCAAATTCTTATGAAACATATATTGAACTGTGAATGTTAAGTACTTTCAACCACTGAACTGAAATAGCGAGTGTTTATGTGAATTTTCCTACTGAGAAAAAAAATAAATAAAAATCATGAATATAGAGAGACAGATTACTTTTCCCCCCTTTTTTTCCTTCTCCCTCCAAATATAATTACAAACAGTACAAATATCCATTTGTTTACTTGTAAGAACCCTCTGTCTCAAATGTGTTGTAATAAACTCATTGACATATTATGAAAACTGAACCTGCAGCAAGCACCTTATGGGGTTATAGATCATTGCACTAACAAACGTGATGCAATATGGTGTTCCCAATGAAATCAATGATTGCTTGTCACTGAGCTTAGTACTAAGAGGGCTCTTAGTCCTTTCTCTTTTGAAAGAAGGTAAACAAAATTGCTTTCTATAGTCAAAAGAACAAGTCAAAGGAGGATGAGAAGTAAAATATGTAAGTAGAATAGAAAAAGGATTGCATTTTCTTTTTTTTTTCTTTTTTTTTTTTTTTTCCCTGGGAAAAGGAAATGGACAGCTTACTATGAACAATTGTCTATGGCAGTGCTTGAAACAGTATCAGAAGCTGTGATTCTAGCATTATTCTGGCTTGTTTATGGGGTTGGGCATTCACTACTTTGTAGTGAATTTTCAGGCTTGATTATTGTTGTTTAAAGCTACTTAAAATAGTTGAACTTTTGTTTTAGGAACTGTGCTAATAATTCAATGTGGTGTTTTTGAAAATATGACCAGGATTAATTGTGAATTTAGGATCTTGATTTGAAATTCCTAATCTAAATACTTTGAGTTTGACATCCTCTATATACAATTCCAAACACTATTGTCGCAGGTCCTGTTCTACCCATGACAGTAATAAGAATGCTAGTGGTGCCAGTAGTTTAACTACAGTTTTGAGCAACTCTAGCCTAGACAGCTTGAAAATTACACGGTCATATTGAGACAAAAATTGTATCACTAGCACTTCAGCAATTGTTCTTCTATCAATAATAGGGAAGTAGGAAATTTTATGAAAAATAATTTTGCAGGCAAAATGTCTTCTTAATTCAGCATGGGATAAGAAACAATCAAGCTTACTTTATGATTTGCATTAAAATTGTTAAAACAGAGGATGGTAAAGCTTCAGTAAGTTTACTAGTAAACTGTTTGATTTCAAGGAAGATACCTCCAAATAGCAAGTATTGTCTGATGGTGATTGTAAACAGTCCCATAAGTATAATGCAAATGACATATCTTTATGAAATGCTTACAAAAGCTCATCATTTGGCTTTAATGGAAAGTAAGGGGGAAAAAACCAAAACCCAACCCAATAAAAGTTATCACAACAGTAAATATAGTGTTAAAATAAGAAGGTCCTGTTTTAGTTATGTCAACCATTTATCCTCTTGCTGTGAATTCCAAGCCACTTTCTGCATAAAAATATGTAGCTGTCTCATAAGCTTTCTTATGCTATCTGAATCAGCTGTCTTACTAAGCAGCTTGTTCCATATGCCTGCTACTCTTTCAACAGAATAGTTTTTGATAGGTTTCTTTTGTTTATCTCTCTTTTTCCACTTCTGTTGCTGAGATTTTAAACCTTATTAGCTTGGACAGTTTGAGATCACCCTACCTAGAAGTCTTAGAAGAATTAATCGTTTTGAATACATCTGTCAAGTTACCTGTTTGTTCCACCTGACATAGCATATATTATTCACATTTAAATTTAAATAACAGAATAATCTTTTAGCTTGAAATGTCTTGTGTAACAGCAATAATCTGTATTTCTTGAAAAGATATCCAAAGCTAAAAAAGGTACTGTAAACCATAAATTATATCTACAAGAAAGCAGTACAGCTTTTTATTTTTTTATTTTATTTTATTTTTTTACTAAATAAATGCTTGTGTTTATCATATAATCAGTAAAATTATATAAGGTTATGGACTTTCTTGTAGTTACTTGTAAATCATTGTCTTTGATAGATTTTCCCAGGAATTTTTCCTTCCTATTTGTTTTGGGTTTTGCTCTCTGTGTTTCTTCGCTTTGGATTAAATCTTCATTTTCATTTAATTGTCAAAAATATCCAACAGATTAAGTATCTTCAAATTCAGTAACTTTGTTGTTAATTTTTTTCTTTATTACTGTGCTGTGCATCTTTCTTTTGACACATTTGCTTGTAGTTCACACCTGCATCCCACAGAGGAGATATTTCTGCATGTGCTGTTGCCTTCTTAACAGTAGCACGGATCCTGAGAATAAAGGAAAAGTGGAGGCACCTCCTTGGGGGAAGGGTAAAAGAAAATTCCTCAGTGTTGGTGTCAGAGACTCCTCTAGGATTTGTATTGCTCTCCAGGCTTTGCTGTAGAACAGCACCATTTTATTATCAGACATATAAGACTAGTATAAAAGGACTGTAATGTATCTACAGGACAAAACTAAACCCTTAAAACTTAAAAATATAATACTTTTTTCTTCATTGTCAAAACAAAAATGCATTTGCATCACAACTGATGTAGTCCTGCAGCAGTTTTAAGAATAAAAACAGTATCAGTGTTATAGAATCTATGAAAACTGATAACTCTGGAGTCTGTCCACTGAAATAATTCACAGAATGAGCCCATAGTAAGTTACAAATTTATGTTCTCAATTTTTAAACAAGAATGATCCTTGAAATCAAGTATATGACATTATTCATCTACAGCAGAGCAGAAATTATCAGAATTATTTACCAAGCTTTTTTCTGAACTCTCCATTGATTTTCTTGCTATAATCTAGCTTGAGTCTGTAAGATAATTAAAATCCATTCTGTTTAACTAAGTGAGAATCAGTCTAGACTGATAAGTGCAGATAGTTCATCAAGCGAATTTCTGCTGTCTGACATCATCACCAACACTTTCCATGCCATTGGGGATGATGGGTTCTTTTATGAGTACATCAGCTTAATGAGATAATGGAAAAAGAAGATTGTAGAGAAGTATTTCTTTTCAAAGTTCTCAGAGCTGGCAATGGCCTCTGCTGAGAAACTGATGGAGGTGAGAGTCCCCCAGAAACGATACAACCTGTGAATCATTTTGTTCAATATTGCTTCCTCCCATATTTTTTTCCCCCTAGACAGAAAATTTCCTGTCATATTTTCTCTGTGCCCAGAATGTGAATAACTTTCAGAGTGTGCTACTTCTTCCAACACCACCTAAGTGTCTTTAT